TCCCCCCCCCCACCCTCCCCAATGTCCCAAGCTGGCAAGCACGTACCGCTTTTCTCGTTGGCAGAGTCCAGTGATCTCCCTGTCGAGCAGCTTGATGCCGCCGTGTGATTCTAAAACGTGTCTACGGAGAGATTACTCAGCGGTAAATCTCGCGGAACAATTTTGACACGAATGGATCTACCAATCGGCGCGTATTGATCAGTCATGCCAACAATGCCACAAGAAGAGAAGCGGGCGGCACACGCAGGGTGACGTACTTTTGGCGGATGCAAGGTAGTGTCGTTTGAGCGATGTCGGGTGGGTTTCTTTCGACCATCAGACCAATGGCCGCAGTCGCACCGCACGGAGTTTGGAAAACAGGCAGCAAAGTTTGCCTGGAGAAGAGGGAGGCATGCTGACGGACGGCGAGGATCACTGGTGTGGTCGGGTTGATGTGTCCAAATGGCGGCGCACAGCTTTGAGGCGGGAAACGCGTCGATAGCGGGCGTTGCATGTCCGTGATCGGTTACGCTCAGGAGCCATTGCACCGCTATTGCTGGGATGGAGAGCAGAGTGAGGCGCGAATGGTCGGTCGTCGCGGAGCATGGCGGGGGCGCGCGGGCGGCGTACCTTGTTCAGTGCTGGGCGGTGTGCGGGAAAATGCCCGACGCTCCACAGTTGCGCACCAAAATTTGGATTTGGACCCACACTTGCAGAATGTAGCTCCTCATTTGACAAATGATTGCTCAATCTAGAGCACCTCTCTGCCGAGCACAGCTTCGAGGGGACGGTATGAACATATCGAGTCGGTCCGATTGAGACGTCGGGCAAAGGCAGGCAAAAGGAATTCTTTGTTTGTTGTTCACATGTCAATTACATTCAAGGTCGAGCACAAGCATAATCTACCTGGCTCCCGTTAGCTCGCAGATTTCCGATTGAACTCGGCGCGTAGAGGGGTGCGCCTCGCCCAGCGTCGCCAACTTGATCTTCAACGCCTTGCCGTAGTACTCGAGCGCCTGCTCATACTGGCCCTGAGTCTTGTAGACAATGGCCATGTTGTTGTAGGTGATGCCCGTGTGCGGGTGCGCCTCGCCCACCGTCGCCAATTGGATTGTCAACGCCTTGCCGTAGTACTCGAGCGCCTGCTCGTGCTGGCCCTGCTTGTAGTAGACAAAAGCCATGTTGTTGAAGGTGGTGCCCGTGAGGGGTGCGCCTCGCCCAGCGTCGCCAACGGATCTTCAACGCCTTGCCGTAGTACTCGAGCGCCTGCTCGTACTGGCCCTGGTCTTGTAGACAATGGCCATGTTGTTGTAGGTGGTGGCCGTGTGCGGGTGCGCCTCGCCCAGCGTCGCCAAGTGGATCTTCAACGCCTTGCCGTAGTACTCGAGCGCCTGCTCGTACTGGCCCTGTTTGTAGTAGACAAAAGCCATGTTGTTGAAGGTGGTGGCCGTGTCCGGGTGCGCCTCGCCCAGCGTCGCCAGTCGGATCTTCAACGCCTTGCCGTAGTACTCGAGCGCCTGCTCGTACTGGCCCTGGTTCTCGTAGACACTGGCCATGTTGTTGTAGGTGGTGGCCGTGTCCGGGTGTTCCTCGCCCAGCGTCGCCAGTTGGATCTTCAACGCCTTGCCGTAGTACTCGAGCGCCTGCTCGTACTGGCCCTGGTTATAGTAGACACCAGCCATGTTGTTGTAGGTGGTGGCCGTGGCGGGGTGCGCCTCGCCCAGCGCCGCCAATTGGATCTTCAACGCCTTGCCGTAGTACTCGAGCGCCTGCTCGTACTGGCCCTGGCTGTCGTAGACACTGGCCATGTTGTCGTAGGTGGTGGCCGTGTCCGGGTGCGCCTCGCCCAGCGTCGCCAGTTGGATCTTCAACGCCTTGCCGTAGTACTCGAGCGCCTGCTCGTACTGGCCCTGGTTCTAGTAGACACCGGCCATGTTGTTGTAGGTGGTGGCCGTGTGCGGGGTGCGCCTCGCCCACCGTCGCCAATTGGATTTCAACGCCTTGCCGTAGTACTCGAGCGCCTGCTCGTACTGGCCCTGGCTGTGGTAGACACTGGCCATGTTGTGATAGGTGCTAGCCGTGTGCGGGTGCGCCTCGCCCAGCGTCGCCAATTGGATCTTCAACGCCTTGCCGTGGTACTCGAGCGCCTGCTCGTACTGGCCCTGGTTGTTGTAGACACAGAGCCATGTTGTTGTAGGTGGTGGCCGTGTCCGGGTGCGCCTCGCCCAGCGTCGCCAATCGGATCTTCAACGCCTTGCCGTAGTACTCGAGCGCTTGCTCGTACTCGCCAAACTCCCTCAACACCTTTCCAATCTGCATACAAAAACTTGCAAACCCCGCCCCCTCGCCGTCCTCCACCTCTCGGGCTCTGGCCGCCACAAGTGCCTGCTCCAGGCACCACCCCCGCAGCTCCGCCTTGATCCGGGCGTTCAGTTCCGTAAAGCCCAACGTCGCCTCCACCGTCTGGAAGATCATGGCCCGGTCACTGGCCTTGAACGCCTCGGCCTTTTCCGCCTGCACCCGCACAAGCATGTCCATCACTGCGTCGCTGTCCTCCGCCAAAGCGTCCACAAACCCGTCCACCTCGGCCTCGGGCAGCCGAATGTCCAGCTGCACCTGCCCATTCAGCGCGTGCATCATTTCAAACAGGCACCAGGCCCGCGTCATGGGCACCGGGTCGCGCCAGGGGCTCATGACCAGCAACACCCGCCCAATCTCCTTGATGTTCTCCTGAAACGTGTTGCACCACCTGCCACACCCAAACACCGTCAGTACCACGGGCCACCCCGCACCCCGACAAGCACCGCGAGACGCACCACTCGTAGGGGAGGTCAACAGCAGCGTGCTGGTTGTTGGGCACGAGGTCGAGCCAGTAGTAGGCGCCCGGCACCTCCGTCCGCTCGTGGTACAGCACCGTAGCCAGGGTCGTGGCAAAGCTGTACTTCCAGGCATGGGACACAAACACGGTGGCCGGCGCGAGGTGGGGCCGCTGTGCGGGGTCCTCCAGGAGCAGGTCGACCCAGGCGCAGGCGCGGGCCTTGGTCAGCGGCATGACGTAGCGGGTGCAAATCTCCGAGGTGGTGAGCTTGTCAAACTCGTCACCAAACTGCTGGCGGAGTTGGGTCTCGAGCGCCTGGAGAAAGGCGGCGCTCACCCCAAGCAGGGCGCGCTCCGAGCCTGGGATGGGGATGGGGAGGGGGGTGTGACGACGATCAGTTGGTGGGGGCGGGGGCGGTGGAGGGACGGTGACTGACCTGCTGAAAGGTCGGCCTTGGCGTCGATTCTGGGGGATGGCTCCCTTTTCTTGGGCGGATCGCCTCTTGTCCGGCTCTGGCAGCAGCCCATGATGGCGCCGGGGAAGACAAACACTTCAAAGACACACAAAGGTGGGCGTATCAATCGCCGCGAAACACTGCCAAGAGAGCCTTGGCCGTGATGGTGATGTGGAAAAATACGCCAGCACCAGTCCGAAGGCACTCTGCTTCTACTGCAATGACTGACTCTTGTTGGGCGTTTTTCGCCACCAACAAGAGAATCAAGTCACGCTATTGTTGGGCGTTTACGCCAAGAATAGAATCAGGGCCGGAATTTATGTTTTCCTTGGTTTAGTGTCTTATGACTTTTTGTATTCTTTTGAATGCTCTTGCCTTTTAGACCTTCTACCCGACTTAATGGGGGGACTGAAGCAGCACTTTTAAGTTAGTGCGTCAAGTATTACACTTTGGAGGCTATAACGTTAAAATAGAAGGTGTAAATGGTAATTTTATAAGCTTTTTTGTGATTTTAAAAAAAATTTGAAACAACTTGGGCACTGATGTCCCAGAGACGAGGACGGCTACCAGTACCGAAGCGCACCCCGCACGAGTTGAGTCGAGAAAACCAAACAAGGCACATTCGCTCTGCAATAGAGCAACATTGTGAGGCATTCCAGTGGCTGAAGTCACGTTGGCGATGCCATTTATGATAAGACTTGACTTAATGGGAATTTGAATCGAAATTCCCATTAACAGTGGTCGAGGACTTTTTGTAATAGATCACGACACCCCTGTTTCTCACATACGTTCGAAAGATGCTTGTCTCACGTTTCCAGCAAAAATCGAGCGACACCCATTGTAACTTTCTGGCAAAAGTTACAATGGATTTCCTGAGTGGGTCAATTTTTCATGTCAATTATGTTAGGGCCCATCCTGGGGAGAGGGGACAACCTCGCTCGGCTGAAAGCATTGCGACAGGAGAGTGTGAGGCAGGGCTAATCCCTCCATCCGGGGATTGGTGGTCGTCTCTGTGGCGCCCTAGGAATTCATCGTCAACATCCGCACCACCACTTGGCAAGGGAGTGTTGACTGTGAAATCATCGTCGGATTCTGAGTCCGAGTCCGAGTCGTCCGACGCTTCGGAAGCATTAGACTGGGGCAGGGCAATGTATGTTGCCAACCGCTCGAGCTCCTTAAAAGAGTGATCGATGCAACCGGCCACGTCGCCATGCGTCAGCTCCTTGAATGCGGCGAGTAGCTCTGCTTTTACCTCGTTGAATGTACGATCAGCCCTGTATGCGCGGCCAACCTTTCCTTTGACCTGCGCCCAAACCAATTCGATGGGCTGCAGATCTGAGTAGTGCGGCGGGGAGAATAGAATCGTGTGCCCCATTGCCGCTGCCATGGCCACGATCACCGGCTGCACCTTTGTAGCGAGTTGCGGATGCGCAGCCAACCAGATGCTCTCCTTGGTCGCTGTGGGGTCAATCTCAATGTTGTAGGCCTGGCACGCAGCGATGAGCTCGGCTTTCGGCATGTCCTTGCGCGGGGCCCCCCGTGGCAGGGACCGATGGTAAGAGGCGCTGTCCATGACAATCACCGTGTCCTCGATCCCTCGCCGCCGCAGCGCCTCCAAGAGCTTGGCCATCCACGCTTCAAAGTATTCGCGGTTGAACATGCCATGATAGTCTTGCGGCTGCTTGCCCCCCACAAAGATATCCAACGTGTCGTCAAGAAGTTGTGCCTCATGAACAGGCTGGCGTAGGGGACCGGGAACCCTGGGGTCCTCACCAATGATGGCGGCGATAAAACAACACCGCTGCCCTTTCTGTGCGGCGCGCCTGCTGGGACCGTCACCGAGCGACTCATGCATCGTGTCGTGATGGAGCTTGTAAGGGTGATGGATGTAGCTCTCGTCCATAAAGACAAACCGCTTCCTGTAGCGCAAGGCCAGTGCGGTCCCCACGTAGGCATCGCGGCGCATCATGCTCTGCTCCCTCTCACGGTACAGCAGAGTTCCGGTGCGACGCTCGCGGCGGAGCCCGAGCTCGCGAATGAGAATCTGCACGTAACGGCGCACCGCGAGCTTCTCCTTGCCGCCCGCGTCCTGCAGGTGGGCTGGTAGGTATCCCCGACGCGCAGAGAAAATCCGTCAGGGTATCGGCGACCACGCGCTCGCCTTTTTGCTCCTTGTCCAAAAGAAAGTTGCGGATATCCACGCGCAGCTTCTTGGTGCGGCGGATGCGCCGGGGCTTGTAGCCGCGTGCGGCCCCACTGGGCGTGTGCTGCGGTAGCCGTCGATGCAGCACAAATTCCTTCCATGCGGCACCGCAGGCATTGGCGTTGCGGCCCAGCACGGCAGCTACCTCCTCGGCCCACACGTGCTTGGCCGCCCGCCCACCGCTCGCCGCCTGCCCCGCTTTCCAGGCATTGTGGCGAAGGTGGAGGTGGACGGAGATGATGTCAAGCAGCTCATAGGCCGAGAGCGCCTTCTGCAACATCTGTCGGCGCTGGTCCTGGACCCACTTGCGGCCCTCGGCCAGGTAGGCGTCGTCGACCACGACGGTCGGGACGCGAGAGCGGGTGGCCGCCTTGTCGCCCCCAGATGCGCCCGCAGAGGCGCGCCGCTTCGCACGCTGGTCATCCGCATGTGCCATCAGCTCCTCCCGATCCTCCGCGGGTGGCTCCCAGGCGGGATCGGCCGGCGGCCGCCCGCGCCCTCGCCCGCGCCCTCGCCCTCGCCCTCGCCCTCGCGGCATGTCGGTGGAAAGAGCCGCGCCGGCGCCATTTCTGAGCATTTACATTTGGTAATTTGGTAGCCAGCATCCCGAGGTGCACGAACTGGACATGTGAGGCAGGGTGTGTGAGCGATGTGTGAGGTCTCACAACAGGCGTCAAGCGTCAATGAAGTGACTAGGGGAAAGCCAACAGAAAATCCCATCGTCAGGCTTTTTCCGCCTCTCTTTTGATCAACTGGTTCACGAGTTGCATTTACTATATTACAAAAAGTCCTCGACCACTGTAAGTCACTTCCAAAAAGTCGCGAGAACAAAGATAACTGCAGTTTTCTGGATTTCACGAAGTGAAAATTGTCAGAAATTCCATTTAACAGTCCCCGACAACTTTAGTGATTGATTCTTAACCCCTCTTTTTCTTTGTGTCATTCGATCGGATTCGCGCTAGCGCGATGGGCTGGCGGGCTTTCTCCGTTCTCAAAAATATGCACCATAGCCAAAGTTATGAATTTTCTAAGCTACACCCCAGCTGGGCCTACTGCCCGGCTTCTGACCCCCATGCATGTTACTCGTCCCCTACGTCGCTTGCAGACGCGTCGTCGGACACTTGGGTGCCGTCAGACTGTTCCGTCGCGTGGCCAGGTGGAAACCCCTCCTCGGCCTCGCTGTCCGACACGTCGTCGCTGTCACTGTCACTTTCGGCACCCTCGGCGTCAGCCATGCGCTGGAGCATGTGGTTGAGCTCCTCGACTTTTTTCCAAGAGTGGTCAATGCAGGCAGCCACGTCGTCATTGCTCAGGTCCCGAAATGACGCTTGTAACGCCTCCTTGACCTGTGAAAAGGTTCGCTTTGTGTGGTACGTCCGGCCTACCCGGCCTTTCACTTGAGCCCAGATCAGCTCGATCGGCTGAAGGTCTGAGTAGTGAGGTGGAGAAAAGAGCACCTCATGCCCCGCTGCGACAGCCTTGGACACAGTCACGGGCAGGATGTTGGCTCGGATCCAAGGCTCGACCTGCGCCCAAATGGCCTGCTTGGTCTGGCTACCACCCACGTCCAGGCCCAACTGACGGCAGGCAGCGACCAGATCATCCTTCTTCTGCGACTGTCGCGGGGTGGATGCTGGCAAGGACTTGTGGTACCTGGCATTGTCCATAACGATGATGGCGTTCTGAACCCCCATGCGCGCCAGCTCTGCAAGCAGCACATCCATCCACGTCGCAAAGTGCGCCTTGGCCGCTTCGACTCCTGGGTGTTAAAACATTGACGTGGCCCCGCATACAGCTGACAGTGGTATTGGTGCCGATAGGCCGAGCGTCGAGCCAAGGCAGATCGTGCATCCCAACTCCTACGTCAGCTCACAACCAGTATCAAGAGGTCGATGACCTTTGTCGATTCCGCCCACGTCAACAACTTGGCCGCCTGGTCAACCCTGAGCGCCCCCTCCCGCGGACAGCGAGGCACCCATCTTCATCGCTGCGTGTACGAGCCAGGGCACGATCGTGGAGCTTCTTGAGATGCGCCGCAGTGTCCGAGAGGACGCACTCGAGTTGCTTGAGCAAATGCCCAAACTCAGCTCTGCCGAGCTTGCTCTTTGCTTCGTACTCGTCATCAAGACGCTGACAGCTCGGACAACCATATGAGTCCGGCGCGTTTTTTGCGTTGGACCCTAACCCTAACCTGACCACCGCGGGGCCTCGGAATCCAGTCAGAGTAGCCGGCGCATTTTCGAGTCTGGACGAGCCGTGGGCAGACCTTGACTTGGTGCATCGCTCGGGTCGGCATGCTGGCATGATCAAAGCCAACTGTAAGTTGGTTTCCCAGATGGCGCGAGCGCTGCTACGTCTTCATGTGCTGCAAATATGCCTTTGTAGCGTCCTGATACCCTAACGCTAACCCTAACCTTAGCCCTAACCCTAACCCTATTTCTGTTCTTATTGATGCCGGCCCCCAGGTCTTGGCCGTATCTTATTCGTGGACGAGACGCCTGGTCTCCGCGCCGGATTCACAAAAAAAAGTGCCAAGGTGTATTCCTCAGCCGACCAAACTGTAGATCAAGGGTGTCTTCCCGGACAAACCTACTCCGCCATTTTTAAGTGGGGAGGCAGTCGAGCCCACCCGCATGCCCGCGTCTCCGCCGCTTGATGACCGAAATTCACTTTCCTCAGATTCAACCCCGCCCACTCAAACAGCAGCACCTTCCATTGACCAAAATGAAACATCCAATGTTACATTCTTCGAGTCTGGTGTTCAGCAAGGTGGCGCAGTGGCCAAATGGAGGCGCCCGCCGCGCGTGGTTCACCCCCAGCGGCTCGCGTCTCCAATTTCTCAAGTCTAAGCGAGTGGTCTGGCGGTTGCCCGGCACCGACAACAAACCTGTCGCAGCGTCGACTCTCAGGGTAGCGACGGTACTATCATGTTCACTCTGATTTCGCTCTGACAGCATGTGCATGTACGCTGGCGACACAAAGGCGTCTTCGCCTCTGCGCACCACAGACGACAGAGAGGTACACAAAATGATGGGTCCAGCTCAAGCATGGTGCATGGGGAGCAAATGATTGAGACCCTATCGTGAGGCGTTCGTGCGGGGCATCCTGCTGCTGCTTAAGACGGGGGCTTGCTGCCATTCTGCTGGCCAGCAAACCAGTGCCCCCACGCATCACAACTGCACAGGGCGCCAGGGGCGTGCTCGGTCATCGTGATATGGGGGCAGTCCAACCACCAAAATCAAGGCAAGCACGTCCAAGGACGGCCAGCCAGAGGCCTGGCCCGACTGTGGCGATCGATTCGGGTCGAGGGCATGGTCGGGACGCGGGGCAGTGACAAACCAGTCTATTGTCTAGCTGCTGCGGTTCTCACCCAAAACCCCGAAGCACAGCCCACGCCGCGCCGAGGCTGCGCGCACCACGATCGCCCCGGCTGACCAAGCACACGACGCCATTGGGGGCGCCGTTTGGTGCGCTGGCCCACGTCGGTACTGCGACAGTTCAACCGACCAACCTGGACGCCGAGACCGAAAGACGCCCCCACCGCCAAAGTTTGTTTGGACGCGGCTGAACGACTCCTTGTTTTTTTTGACGACGCACTCAGCATGCGCGTCGGGGGGTTCCTTGCGTTTCTTCCTCCGGATGAGCCCTGTCGTCACCCATGTAAACAGGATGAGTCCCCTAACCTTATACACCTGGCTTTGTTTTATTTATATATCACCCTAACCCCAGCCCTCGCCCCAGCCCTCGCCCCAGCTCTAGCCCCAGTCTTAACCCCAGTCTAGTCCTAACCCTAGTCCTAGCCTAAGCCCTAGCCTCAGCCCTAACCCCAGCTCTAACCCTAGTCTGGTCCTAACCCTAGCCCACACCTCAGCCCTAGTCCCGGCCCTAGCCCAAGTGCCCGCAGTTGGTTTCACGTCAATGGCAGATTCACCTCCACCCGACTCGAAGCGCGCCTGGCTCACACATGTTGGTGATGCTGCTGCTGGCGTGCCAGCCCATCCATCGCCACAACCAAATATTTGTTTTGGAAGAGGCTGGAAGGGTCTAAAGGGGCGTGAACATGCCGACGACCAACCGATTCGAGAGAATTTTGCTTAGAGGACGGCCGTGTGCGAAAAAGTTTTTGGTGCTCGTGTCCGGGCATGGCTTGGCTCGCCAACAACGTGGTTGGTATGATCGAGGGCCGGGATGGGATCTGGCCGGAAAGACTTTGTGAGCACTGATGTAAAGGTATGGATTGGCACGTCGCCAGCTCAACGGTACCCCCTCTACCCCTCTATCCCGAGGCAGCCGCAGAAACGATGTGTGATGAGCGAGCCTGCGGCATGGGCAAGTCAGCTTGCGGCTCGGGCCACGAGAGGGGGCGGACTGGGGTAGGGCTGGGTCGGACCGGGCAGTATCGGGTCGGGCTGGGTAAGACCCTGACAACGAAGAAATAGGATGTGTGAAACAAACGTTGATGCCTCCTGCCCATGCATCCTGCGCATGGGAGCCACGTCAGCTTCTTGGGATTTGAACACCGCATAAACATGATGAGGCTTATAAAGACTTAGTACATGTAGTAATAAGGATCCATCCGAGTCCCTCGGACAACGACAGTCGTCGATTGGCTTGGCAGCCCGCGCCCAGAGCTGTTTGCAGAGCGCAATTGCCCGCTGCCACAGGAGTAGCTCTGGTTTCTCAACAAGAGCACCATCGCCACGTTTGCGCACATTTGTGCCTGGAATCAAAGAGTGGTGGAGACCTCTTTCGCCCCCCTCCCTCCTTTTTTTTTGATGTGCTATCCCCTCTCGCTCTCACACCTGATTCAGGCGAAACCAAAGTGGGACAGCCAGGCTCAGACCCAACACCAACACCGCCCACAAAGAAGGTGACAGGACGGTTGGCTGTCCGCTCGCACAACACGACCATGACCATAGTGGCTGCGCCGACCCTTCTTTCTTCGTACACGTGCACATGACGCCATGCATCACCCCGACTGAGAAGCCCCAACGATTTTGCCTCTTTCGAGCATGGCAGGTAGTTGGTGAGCGCAGGACATAGCATCGTCATATGGTCAAAATCGTTCGTGCGTGGGCCGTTGCATGACCTGCCCCGTATGTAGCGACGATGGCTCTTGGCAGTGCCCGGGGCCCGATTCAACCCTGGGCCCGCACGTCTTGGACAACACCAGCGTCAGGCCCCCAGAATGTGTCGTCAGCCGCTGGTTTCCTCGACGCTGGGGTGACAACTACGCACCACGACCAACGCCCAAAATCGGCATGTGCCATCGTTCCAAAGCGAGCTGCATTGTTCTTCTTTTTTGGTGACTTTGCTTGGCCCAGCCCCACTCTCGCTCGTTCCTGATCATACCATTCTGTCCCACGCAACGTGATGGGTTGTTCTCCGTCACGAAGACCTCGAGCCATACCATTCGAGGGAACACAGGGACAAGACTCGCCTTTACGTCAGCATGGAATAGGCCCCATGGAACCACATAGGCGACTTTGGGTAAGGATCCGCTTAAACGTCCTCTCGGGTTTTTCTTTTAAGAGTTTGCTTTGCTCACTGCACCCATGCTTGCACCCCTTTTTTTGTCAGCACCTACTTACCCCGATGCAGTTGGTTGGGTGCGCACACGCTGGCTTGGCATCCCTGACAACCGTCCAGAGTACAACCCTTTTGTCATGTGGAACCACGCCGTTTCACCATGGCATCACCATACACAAAAAGCATTGGTGGTCGGCACAGGCCCGCCCAGCCACGCTCGTCCAGTCAAACACAAAACATGCACGCCAGCCCCAACCCTACCGCACCCCCCGCCCCTTGGCATCATCCAACGAATTGATTGATGAAACAAGCGTAGAACACAACCACAACTGTGGGTAATTGGCTTGGTCATCGTCATTGTCCGCATGCGTCACCTTCACTCAACGTTGACGTCCTCTCAAAGCGACAAAAAATTCCCTGCCGGCGGCTGCGGTGTCAGTGTATGTTCGTGTGTGTCATGCTGCGTAGTCGGCTTGGCTCACTCTTAATGGTTCCTTCCACCCCTCCCTCCCGCCCCCACCCTTTTCAGCATGAAGAAGCGAAATTTGAGCTGCGCAGTGGTGCATTTTCTTCCGCGCCCAATTCCCCCGAGTTTGCTCCTGTTGACTTCTGCCGCCGCCGCCGCCGCCGCCGCCGCCGCCGCTTTCTCTCCCTCTCTCTCTCCCTCTCTCTCTCTCCTCCTCCTCCCTCCCGCCTGCTACAATCTCATCTCAACGCCCAAGGAGTGCCGATCGCACAGCACCGCCACCTGCACGATGAGCGCCATGCCTTTGGCCATGGCCCTGCCCCGTCATCCTCGTCAAGAGCGACAGTCTCGGCGCAAGATTAACACTTGCCAATATTGCCACAAGCTGTTCTCCTCCCGCTCCTCGGCCCGCCGCCACGAACGCATCCACACTCATGAGGGCCTAGCTTGCCCCCTCTGCCCGCGCCAGTTTAATCGCCGCGACCATCTCGTATGTCAGCCCTGCCGCAGCCTGCCCCGTGTCAGCGTGACCTACCGTCTCATTCAAATGCCTCCTTTTCCTCCCCTCCCATCGTTTAGAATCATCACCTCCGCCGCCATCAGAATCAAATCTACAAGTGCCCGCTCTGTGCAAACGAATACAGTCACGCCTCCTCCTTCAAGCGCCATGTTGAGCGAGACCACGATCAGACCCCCCTCGACCTCTCCTCTCTGCAACAATACACCCACACCGTTACCGACGCCCCCGGCCACAGCGGTGCCCCCCACCCCATGCTTCACACGCAATACCAGCATGGCGACCGCCTCAATGAGCAACAACACCTCGTATCGCCGACCTCCTCCATCGGCAGCGGGCCCACCATTCCAACCTCCCAGTACGTTTTCAAGGCTGCCATGCCTCACGGCTCGACTCGTCGCGCTCGCTGTTCCCTCGTTGCGCCTGACATGCGCAGCGTCGGACTCATGCCCTGACGCCTTGTTTCCACCTGCTGCACAGCGCCACCGCCCCGCCCCAGCTGCCCTTGCCTTCAGACTCCCACCGGCCTTTCCAGCCTCTGCAGCCCTTGCACGAAGCCTTCCACCCGCAACTGCAGCTAGACCCCCAGATCAGCGCGGCCTCGCATCCTTCCCCTCTGGCTCCCCCGACCCACCCCTTCGCTTCCCTGATGCATGCCAGCCAGCCCTCGCTGACTGAGCTGGTGGCGCTCTTACTGCAACAGAGCAACAACGCGGCAGCCGGCAACACCATCATTCCCCGGCCCATGGCCACACAGGCTGTACCAGCTGCCCCGACGTACCCCGCGGGCCCTGGCCTCGGTTCGGAAGCAACCCAGACTCAACACCAGGCCGCTACCCCCTCGTCCTCGGGTCCCACTTCCCTGCCGCCTCTACATCACCAACTCAGCCTCGATCTGCTCGTTTCCATGCTGATGCACGGCACCGAGCGGCTGACTCAACCCGAACCCACCTACCCTTACTGAAATCACAAAAGGCCTCGGCGGCGCCTTCTAGTGACCACGCCCTGATCCCTCGCTGGCTCGAGCATCAAGCATGCCACTTTGCCCTGTTGTTGTACCTCGGACACCAAAGCCCTTTCTCGATGGGAAGCCCTCGAGCGCTGCATTGCAGCACTTTGCTGTTCCCACTCTTACCAATTCCGTGCCTCATTCCTCATCATCGCGTGTGACATTATTGTCATGATTGGCCCCGCAAAAGGGCATCGAGAGTATCTACCCTGCCCTGCCCAATGGCATGGCGCAGCTGTTGTTTACCCAGACCCTGAATGACCGTAACAGATCCAACTGCCCCGCCCCGGAATTTTTCCGCCCCTACCCACCATCCCACCATCCCACTTCCGTTGTTACTCGCATTGCACTCGCTCGCTCACACGCGGCCGCATCATGCATCCATGTGTTGGCGATTCCATAAACAACCACTCTATATTCAGCTGTCTTGTTGTCGTCCTGCCCTATGATAAGTTTCCCCGCCTGCGTTCGTGGAATCAATCAAGCTTTCTTTTGTTCGCGTGTTGTCGGTTTTTTTTTGTTTCCTCTCTTTTCCCAGACTTTGACTGCCTGGTGACCATGACAATAAAGATCATGTGTTTCTGTTTGCTTGCTCGGTGATATCCGAACCCCTCTTTAACTGCTGCTGTGTGTCTGCCCTTGCCCCCTCTCCAATAATGCTTCGAACTATAATCGAGCAAAAATTTTCAATCCGTATGTATCTTGCACGACGGTGATGTCAGCCTCATCTATATGGATCGGACACAATGGCGCATACGCGACGCAGCGTTGAACAAACAAGTGAATGCGTCATACGTGTTTGTGGTAGTGAAACTGAGTGCCTTGCTCTTCATCTACGCTGGTTCGCGACGCTGCCTGTCATTGCGGAAACAAGAGGAAGAACCAGACTTCTCGCAGCCAGGCACGGCATCTGGTCTGGTCTGATCTGCGCGGGCCGGCAGCACACACGAACGCTGCCTTGGCCGCGATGTCGCGCTGCTGTTTGTGATTTGTTCACAGGTGTCTTGCTCGATCCGACGTATGAAGTGGGGTAAGGATGCGTTTGCCCCTGTTTGTGCTACACACCATCACAAACACAAATCTGGCGCCATGTGAGCGCCCCCTCTCCCCGGCCCATTCCGCCTCACACTATTCTCTACCCTCAACGAATGTTTCAAAGTGGAAGAATGGATCCATCATAGTCGGTCAGAATTGACAGCTCGACCAGCACACGATTCGGCAGAAACAACGACTTCGTGGTGATCACACGCACAGATTCCAAGGCGCCCTTTGGTGGCAGGCGCCATCGCTTGTTGTCTGTTTTTTTCTCGATAATGTCTGGTTTGATGAATGAGTGAACCGAATGAGTACAGCCCTACGCTCCGCACTCGACGCTTCATCGCACGGTCGCTGAAGCATGAACAAAACATGGCACTCCCTTTGAAGCGTGACCTCTCTCGCTCACACGCTCACCCCCTTCCCGCCGCCCACATTGCGCGCCTCGCACAAACCGTCCACACTGCAGGCTGAACCTACTGCCACCCATACCCACGCGACTGCAGCGTGGTCAAAACTCTCAACGTTCTCCCTCGCGCATGCTTTACCCTACCGTTCCACACTGTACATCTACACTTGGATCGCCTGGGACAAAAGCCCATGGGAAAGGCAATCCCTTTGCGTCAAACAAACGCACACCACAACAAGCAGAATTAAAACCCTCAACCATCAAGCACATCACTGTCGCATGAATTTTCTCACGGACAGAAAACATCTGACAAATTGGTCTTTGTCAGACCATTTTATTAATCTTAACACCTGCTCTTGGAAATAAAGAGCTTCCGGCGGTGCGGGCGATCGATCGCAATGCGATCTCTCACGATTCGACGCTCCCGACGCCCCCGACGCCCCCGACCCTCTCTGCACCTTTTTATTCCTCCCGGTCACCTCACCCCCACTTGCTTTTTCTCTCCGTGTCTTTATCTCTTTGCATTCCCATCACCGTGTTTGCAGTGTTTTGTGCAGCGATCCTGGAATCATGGCCACTGCTAACGCTGTGGCGGCCCGCCTGCCCGCCTGCCTGGTCCTTCTCTGCCTGGGTTTGGGTAAGGACGCCATCGCACGTTTGCCCCTTTCCTGCCATCCCGGTGACGGAGAGGCAAGCTGCGTTTCTTGCTGATTGATGTGCCTGGGGTTTGCCTTGCTCGTGCCAACGCCATTAGCACTTGCGGACCCCTCAAAACCGACTGGCCATGCTGCCCCCGTCCCCACCGTCGTCATCAACCTGGACGATACCCCCTTTGACCGCTGGCGTGCCGCTGTGCGTATTCTGCGTCCTGCCGCGACATTCAACCTCCTCGCAACGCCCCCGCCCTTTTTCTCTCGCGCCTCTCTGAGCCATGTAGCTTGTTGCTGCCGATCCAAACTGATTCGAGTGCTGGCATTTGGGCTGGCAATCGCAATGGCCTCTTGTTGCGCACGCTCCTCCAGGTAGCCCCGTACAAGGAGGCCCTCAAGCCCGTGGTTGACTATGTCAAGTCCCAGGTGCCTCCCAATGTTTTTGCCCTCGTTGATGAAGCCATGGGTGACATTGACCGTACGTCGACATCTGCTCCGTGCCAACACACACGCGCGCGCACGCACACAAAAGCGCTACCGCCGATACACCTGCACGCATCACTTCACGTTGCCGGTCTGCATCGCCTTTGACCAGTGCGTGGCCATGAACTCACCCCATTCTGTCATGTCTCACTTCTTTTTTTTTTTTTAACCAGAGCGCCTGGGCCAGCCCTGGGCCGACGAGATTCGAGGCGTGGCCAATGCGACGGGCTTTGACCTGGGAGAGATGGTCCTGTGCAATCTCTTTTACGAACTCAACTCTGGCTGCACCTCGACCGTGGCCATGCACGATGACGGCACCATCCTCCATGGCCGCAACTTGGACTACAGCATTCCTGGACTGCAAAACATTACCATCCAAGCCAACTTTACGCGCAACGGTGCCCTGGTCTACAGGTCCGTGGCCCGTGACCCGCTCGGGCAAACCCACGGCCGCCTTGGCGCTGTGACCACGTATCTTGATATCATCCTTTCTTTTGATGAACCCGACGTAGGACGACCACCTATGCTGGATATGTTGGTGCTCTCACCGGTATGAAGCCAGGTGTCCTCAGGTCAGTTGACCATAACCGGCTGTCATTGGCTTTGATCATCAAAAGCGCGCTGCTCCAGCAGAGAGGATTTGCCCCTGAAAGCTTGCAGAACATTCCTTGACGCTAATGGTTCGTTGTTGTTTGCTCCCCACCCATCGGTTTGGCCGGGCCGGGCAACTGCAGCGTGTCTTTGGACCAGCGTCATACCAACGCTACGCTCTGGGACAACATTCGTGAGGCCCTCTTTCGCCATGGCAATAGCGTCGGCTTTACCCTCCGCTCAGTCCTGGAGACCAACTCGAGCTTTGAAGACGCCGTTTCCTTTCTCTCCACCGTGGTATGTTCCCACGGCTGCAACCTTATTTACCGGCTTTCCGAGTTGCACACTCACCCATGGGCGCCTGCAGGACCTCATCTCTGTCGAGTACATTATTGTTGGCGGTGTTTCTGCGGAACAAGGCGCTGTCATCACTCGCGAACGAGAGGATGCCATTGATGTCTGGCGAATCCAGGTGAGACCATGCTCGGATAAAACCTGTGTCTGCCTCGGTCGGCCGCGTGACGTGACAGTGTGGCTCTTTTGAATCGCCTAGCCAGACCTGCCATCAGTCAACCCCCTCTGCAAAGTCTGTATCTCTTTCCCACCTCATCTCTACCCATGCTGGTTTAGTATCCGCGCCGCTGGTTTCTGGTAGAGACCAACTACGACCACTGGAAACCAGTGCCGAGCAGTGATGACCGGCGCGATCCTGCCAACGCCTTTCTCAACCAATACTCCCCCTCCAACGTCTCCACCGCAGCCTTTGAGCAAATGCTCAACACCTACCCCATGCTCAACGGCATGACAACCTACACTGCCGTCATGAGGTCGGTCTTGGTTGGCAACTTGTTCCCACGCGTACGCTCGTCGTTATTGTTTTTTTTTTTTTTTTTTTTTTCCCTCACGTCTCTCGTCTTCTCGGTTTGCTACTCGGCCTCAGCGCTGGGACTGGCTATTACTCCTCGGCCTCCCAGAACAATCCCTAGTGTGGTTGGCCGCTGTGTTTGCGTTTGTCTTAATCTTTTTCCAATTTGAAATGTCGCTTGACAATAACACACGTATTGGAGGTGAAAGGCAATGCATGTGATGCGGTGAACGAGGCAGCCCGTGTGACGCCCCTGGTGAGCTGGTTCCGTGAAAGCTGCTTTTGGGATGGCCCGATTCGACTTTTTTAGGCCAGGCAGACAAGATTAGATACAGCTGCCCTGCTGCTGATAGCCTGGCAGGCTCGACAACGGGTAGAGAGCAGGGCTTGGGAGGAGGACGTGGACTGAGTGGACGTTTGTCGAGGCCGGAGGTCGAAAAGGGGCACGCCTGACCATGAAAGTGGGAATCGCATGTTCCCACTTTTGACGCGTGTGACAAGGGAACGGGGAGGTAATGACTCCCCCTCCAAAAGCAAAAGGATGACAATTCAATTTTGGTAGTTGACGATCATTTTCAACAGCGCGATGGACAGCAAAATCAGTGCCTTGTCGCTAGCTGCGTTGAAAAAGGCGCTTGCTGAGACGGTGAGCTCGGTGCAGTGATTCTGTGCCATGGCTTGATGTTTGTCGTCACGCTCGTGCTCTCACAGGGTCCCGTGCAACTTGCCTCAGGGCCTGGCGGAGGACGCAAAAAAAGCAAAGGAGAGCGCGGAGAACAAAAAATGCTTTGAAATCACGGTCGACACGGCCGCCACGTTTGCGTGCGCGGCCTGTCCATTGACCCGCGACCTTTGCGAACCCACAACTGTTGATGATTTCATCGAGGCTGCAGAGCTCTTTGACTTTTTCAAACCCGATGGCACCCCTATCCACATGACAGAGCAGCAAAAGCTCGTGCAAAAGTTGCTCCTCGAACACGTTTACCAAGTTGTATACCGCCCCAGCTTTAGCGGAGGCGCCGGCCGCCTTGTTCTTGGACGCAAGGGTGCAGCCAAGACGACCACGCTACTCATGGTATACGGTGTTCTCAGCGTGCTTTTACCACGCCGTCATGTAGTCCTTTTTGCAACAGTACAGGCCAACCTGGATGTACTCGCCACGCTGACCCAAGCCTACGAACGGCGCCATGCAAGGAGGGGACTCACGTGGGAGACAATCGATGACTTACTCGCTGGGCTTGAAGGCAGCAGAGTGGTGGCACTGGTGGATGAGTTTCACACCGCGTATGCTTCACAAACGGCGTGGCGCGATGTCGCCTATCGGTTTGGGCAGCAGACTACCTACGGCACTTTCATTTTGAGTGGAAGCGCACCTTATCTGCGTGTATTGGCTTTTGGTGACGCCATCAAAGCGGACGTTGAAGCCACGTTTCTCAACTATACGAGCACACCCAATTTGAACAACACGCGGTATACGGTCATTGAAATGGAGCCAGCGACGTCTGACAAGGACCTTCAAGAATTGGCTGAGCGGTTTGGAGTGGCAAGAGCAAATGGTCTGCTGGACATGGACAAGGGCGAGTGGCTTGCTTTCATTGGGATGGTCACAGGTGGCCTGTTGCGCGAGATGGAGAAGGTTGCCGAGCAGGTACACAAACGCTGCGATCGGTTGAAGACGGCGATTTTTTCGTTCTTGAACAAGCATTCTCAACTCATCGAACAACTGCCAGCTTCGGAAGGCAACCAGCTTGTTGCCTGGTCAAAGCTCTCGCGTGACAAGCGAATCAAGTTACTGGTGCAGCTCAAGCCATGGCTTGCCACAGTAGGATGGGAGGACGAGACAGAGCATGAAATCAGCTCAGCTGCTCCTTTGCAGGGGTCATACTCACAAGTCGAGCGATTTCTCAACAGCCACATCCAGCTGCTTCAAGCACTTGGTCAACAGTTATGTGGCGAAGCAGAGACCGCCCAGCTCGCCCAGCTCGCCAAGATGCCATGGGAACTGATGCGAAAGATACCAGCCAACTCTTTACGCCAACAATTTGGGTCTAAAGTGTTGTACAACGCGAGTGATGAAGGCGCCATTCGCTACGATGGAACTGACGTGAGCTTTGGATTTCCGATGCTGGCCCAGAGCGTCCTGGACAGTATGTACGAGTTTCCGGCCTGGTTCTCGCCTAGGATGCGTCTGCATCTTCGTTATGTCACGGAGTTTGGTCGTGAAGCAGAAGCGGTCGTGCGCGCTAGCTTTGCGAACTACTATTCGAAAGATGATCACAAGCTCAATTTTGACCCGCAAGACATGCACATTCTTCGACACACAGAGGACACAGAGGACACAGAGGACACAGAGGACACAGAGGACACAGAGGACACAGAGGACACAGACTTATGGACGATGTATGCTGGTACAACCAAACTGGACTGGCCGGCTCTTCAGCAATTCAATCATGTCGTGGACGAGCAACCTGATCATCGCGGCTGTGATGTTGCATGGTTCGTGGTGGAAGACAAGACTGTCATGATCCATCGCTGCCAAGTTAAGCTCGGCCTCAACGGCGGTAAACCAGTTGGACCAAGTGAGGTGGAAAGGTGGGTGGATCTTTTGATTGGCAAGACGGCTCGGAAAAAAAAGACCCCATTCGGCTTGGAGGCCTTGAAGAAGTTTGAAGCTTTCCTGCAAAAGCAAGATCGTGACGTCAAGGTGAAGGTAAACTTTCACCTTGTTGTGACAAGACCGCTCACAAACCCAGTTGCCCTGGAGAAGAAGTTTCAAGACGAAGTCCACCGTTTGTACAAGGACATTGGCAGCTTTGATCTTTGGCATCACAGACGCTGTGTTGACCAGCTATGGCCATCAGAAGTGGTCAACTGGGCTATGAAACAAGGCCTGCAGGCTTACTGCTCATCGAGCCCGTAGCGAGGGTCAGTTCTGTTTTCATAGTAGTGATTGGCACCGTAAAACGACAAATTTCAATCTTGACCAAACAGCAATTATTTCTCATTGGTGTCACAACCACAACCAGAAGAAGAGAGCCATGAGGCGTACTCAGCGTGTTCCTATAGAAATTTGTCTGACAACAAAATGATGACATGAGGTTTTTTTTTTCCCTGTGCTCAAGAGAAGAGCCGAAATGGCAGTCGTGGGCGGTCTGCGTCGACGGACGCTTGGAATGCTGGCTTTGTTGGCTGGTTTGGTTTTGTTGCTGGCCGTGGTGTCTTCGGTGGACGGTGAAGGTGGGCTTGCGGTTCTCTGCATATTCTTGGTCAGGTCGGTCCCGAACTCAGAGCGGATGCGCTCAATACTGAGGACCTTGGTTGACTCGCCTTGTAGTGCCAGCATATGACTTTCCAAAGTACACTTATCGGCGCAAGAATCGCTGGGTGGGTCGACTCGCCTCGGTGTCAGGAGCATGCTCCATTGATGTTCGGGTCCTTTCGCAGTGCACTGCTGCCCGGTGCAGCCGGCTGCTCGAGCTCATTGCAGTCGCGCATGCGCAGGCCAAAGCTGTCAAGGCTGCGTTCAAGCGCTGCGAGCGCGTCTGCCAGGAACAAAATCAAACGGCGTTTCTGGACGAGCCCGAGCAACTTTTTGTCCTGACCTGTACTCGTCAATGTGTTTCACCGACCTGCTACGAGGAATTCTACGTTTCGGATCCGGTACGCAACGCACAGACCGGGGAGCGTTCTCGGCAGATGAGTAAACGCAAGCGCCGCTGACAGTGTTTTCGTCAATCTTCGTCCTTTGTCCTTTCTCCCTCCATGCCTTTCTGCTTTTTGTAAATGTAGCTCGAACCTGGAGAAGTGGATGTTCGTCTCACCAGCTTCAAGGGGTGTGCGACCCAGGTGAGACCGACGTCTCAGGACTACAAGCAGCATTGACGGTTTGTGTCACCCGACTCATTTGATGGTCTGGTGATTGCAACAGGAGTACAAAGAGAAAGGCATCACACCGTCCATGCTAGGCGAGCATCTCCGCGAAGACCGAGCCGAAGAGTTGTGATCGTGTTCATTGCCGCAGGTACCCACTTTATCTTACAGTTAGTCGTGACGCAGAGGTGACGACCACACTTGGCGCTAAGCGCTATTACAGACAGAAAGGCAGCTAACCAGATCCGAATCGACAAATAACGAGGCGCGCACAGATGATTTCTCCTTTGCCCGATCTAGCTTTTTGCCACAAGCAGTTTCAGAAACCTCTCAATTGGTCGACAAGAAGAAAACAAAACAAACAAAACATAGTACTCTACCCATGTGCTTCCGTGTTGTGAGGGACAAAACCCAAGAACACATCAAAGCAAAACAGAGCAAGGCGGTGTCCTAACGGCGACCTCAGGCCGCGGTGACGACTCGTACGGATGAGGGCCTACGGGCCTTTAAAGAAAAACGCCTTGGTGAAGGGGTCTTTCATTCACATGCCACGAGGTTAGGCCTCCACGAGCGCCATGGCATGACAACCAAGGGCCAAGCGACAAACAAGTTCCGCCCTGGGCTGCGCCGCCTGCAGCGCCAGCAAAGCCTGCGTCGCGGCAGCACGAGTGCTTGACGCAGCGTCCAAATTCGTCTCGCGTTGCGCGCGCCGCACCAAGCGACGACACAACACGGTCATTTGGTGTGCCAGTTCGGTCTCCTGGTCAATTGCGACTTGGGCTTGCAACCAGTGGGCAGCCAACTCGCAGCACTTGGTGACCTCAGGCGCGGCCAGCTGTGTACTCCAAGCCACGGCGCGCACCATCAACGCCTGGCAGGGAGCCTGTAGCAAAGGGGCCAAACGCTCCGATCCAGCCTGCAGCAAGTCGTCCACCAAGCCAACTGTGGTCATGTAAACGCGCATGAGGAGCTGCTCACGCTGTTGCACCTGGGCTGCATTCATGCTTCCCGTGACGGTGACCCTTTCTTGGAGGCTTAGCATGGCGGGCACCAGCGTTTGGACCATCAGGGCAACCTCCACCAGCTCCGGGCTGGTTCGAAGGGAGGCGTAGAAGCTAGCACTGAGGCGCAACACCTCGACCAAGTCCACCCACAGCTCCAACAAGTGCAGTGAGGGCCTGCAGTCGTCCATTAGCCCCAGGCGTGCTGCCAACCATGGGAGAAGGCCAAAACGCCTGCTCAAGTCGCGAACGCCCGCCGAGTGTTGGCACGCCTGGCGCAGCAAGCGTAGAACCTCGCCCAGCAGGGTCACGTCGCATACAGGCGCCAGAGCAAAGCTCATGACCAGCTCAAAAACGTGACGACGGCTAACGAGGGAAACAGAGCATGACTGAGCATGGTGCTTGCACGAAGTAAAAAAAGGGGGGGGGTTCAAAAAAGTCGAGTAGCAAAAGAGCTTCCACCAACCAAAGAATGAAAAAGTCGGCTTCCGATTGTAGCGAGGCCGTCAGGAAGCGAAAAAGCCTGCGTAAGCATGAGACACAGCCCCAGTCATTGATGTTTAGTATCAGAAGACGGCCTTTTCAAGCCGACATGGCACTCGGTTCAAGGCATGGAAACTGACCAGCGGCGTTCATCGAGCTGTTGCATGTCCGAGCTGTACAGCAGACGGAAGAAGAGTGGCGTGTCCTCAAGGTCCAAGAACGGTCGTGAGGTAATGTACTGCATCAAAGCAAGTGGAATGTCAGTTGAGGAGAAGCGTGAACATGCATCATCCTGTGTCCATTTGGAACCAAACTCGCTCTCTCCCTTTTTCAAGCATGCGGCTCGAGAAATACGACCGCTGGGGCAACCAAACGCACATCTGTGACGATGGGATGCATGGGCACTGAATCAGGTCGAAGGGCAAGCCTTAAGGCACGGGCCACAAACAGTGCGTGTACTGTTTGCAGAGGCCCGGCCTCCAACATGCCAGGATCCATCGAGTTGCCAAGCAGATCCAGGTGCACTTCGACGGCAAATTTGATGTCTGATGTCGACTCCTTAAGATGCTGGCGCAGCAGTCCCAAGATTCCGGCGGCCACCAAGCGCACTGATGCATCCTATTTTGTGCAAGAGAGCAACAGAGCAAATTGAGCAGACGGACAGGTTGCAGCAGCAAAGAGGGCGCGTTAAAAGGTTGAAAGGGGCAGCGGCAAGGCGAGACGACAGAATGACAGCATGACATGAACGCTCCTCCGTTGCAGACAAGGCGAACCTCAGAAGTAAGGCAAAGAATGACAAAGCTGAGAACGTTGCAGTCGACAAGCTCACGCAGCAGGTCCAGCTTAACGTCCGCGACGCAGAATCGAGCCAATGCTAGGATAAAGCGTGGATCATACACCGCTGTCACCAAGTTGGTGTTGCGGTTTGATGATGCAAGAGTCTCCATCGAGGTTGTGTCCGGATCCATGTCCGTGTCTAGATCCATGCCACCAGTCGCCTCTTCGCTGTCGTGCAAGCGCCGTTCACGCGGAAACGCGCGCAAAGTCTCTTGCATGCGCAGCTCGTCGAGTCGACCAAGGCCCGCTCGGCAGGCGGCTGATTGACGCAGGTCACCCACACCCTATGAAAGCAGAGGAAAGGCAGGCAGGTTCCACAAGATGTTGTGAGACGCGAATCGTGCAGCACTTGGGGCATTTGGACAGGCTTTTAGAGCACACATGACAAGACGATAAAAAAAAAGAAAAAAGATAGCACATTGCGAGGCCCCATACCGAGAGGGAGTGGCGGGCAACATCGGCTTCTTCACCGACGATGCATTGCTCCGGTCCACATCCACGACCGCTGCTGGTTTCCGTTTCGGCCAACGACTACGCCAGTGACAACATCACTTAAGCGAGATCGGTTTCCTGCAGCCGCAACAAAGCACCGATGCCAACAAGGGCTACGTACGCGTTGAATGAGGCAGTCCACTGCCTCAAGAGTGCCATGATAGGCAACAGCCAGTGTATCACCCAAAGCCCCTTGCAATGACTGTGCAGCGAAGGCAGACACAGTGAGCACACAGAAAAGCAACATGGGCTCGCAAGGCAAGCACGCATAACCATTTCAGTGCATCAGCAGACCTCTGGTTTGCGCTTGACAAGGTATAGCAGCAACTCCACCACCGCCCGGCGTTCTATTGTTCAAGCGGGAGATGCAAGGTATTCTCTCGGAATGAATTTGACCAACTGTCGTCTTACCTAGGTGGGTGCTGGCGTGAATAAAACGGGATGCATAGTGCCACCGCCCGTTTACATACCAGCTTGATTGTTGTTGAGAACCTTGCGTAAGAGGGGCGAGCTTGCGCATTGACTCGTCAGGGTATACAGATCCACAATCGAATTTGTACCCCCCACAGCTTCAAGACGCTCCATCGTTCTGTCCAAGTGATTATCAGGGTGACGTTGGTAACCAAGTTTTTGAGACTAGCGTGCTGTTTGCAATCTTTAAAACACTAGAGACGGAACGGGCCATGGCAAGCGGTCGAGACTCACTGGTAATGATCGGTCACCAGTCGAAGGATGTGAATGTCCAGATCGAGGTAGGAGAGGCCAAGAAGAGCGGCGACTGTTTCGTTATAAGCAACAAGAGCAGCATCCACTTGGGCCATGGGCAGCACGCCAGGCAAAGGCGCGGTGGTGGCCAAGCGGTCTGCCATGGTGCAAATCAGTTGGCATGCATAACGTAATGCCAGACTGCCGACTAAAGACAGACTGGTGGAACTCGCCACCGTGTTAAGGGATCGCCGCAACTGGGTCACGGCCCGTCCCACCGTGACTAGCGCATGTGTCAGATCGGCCAAAAGCATGGTCCATGGCCTTTGATCTGAGATATCGACCAAGCCAGGAGGGTAAGAGCTCTACAACTCCCAACATCTTGCGCATATCCCATTTCCTAGCGCCATGTGCGGTCGAGTCTGACGACAACTTACCCTGCTTCGCTCGAAGAAGAAGACGAACCAGCGTCACAGCCTCGGGGTTGTCCGAAAGCGCGCCCTCGGCCAGGTTTGCTTGAGTAGGACCACAAACGCGAGCGGCAAGCAAACCGGTCTAAAAATATGTCAATACCACAGTATGCGCGAGTTGAGTGCAGAGGCTTCCATGTCTATGCCTGCCCGGGCCAAACCAGCCCCTTACCGCATCCTCGTTCTGTTCAAGTACGACTCCAGTGACCATTTCCAGACCAGGAGACTGCGATGTAGCCAGTTGCGGCAGGCGATCCCAAGCGCCTAGGAAGACGCTAGCATCGGTGCCAACCAGGCTGCTCAATGGCTTACAAAGCCTCTCCACCTCCGCGAAGGGGGGAAGATTGCAATGACGGCAAGCTTCGCGCAGCATGGTTCGAGGAAAAGCCACGAGCGAGGCCGGGTTTCTATCGTTGGGAAATTCACAAACGAGTAAGAGCGATTTCCATCCCCAGGGTGCCGCAAGCATCGCACATTGATAGCAAAGCCGAAAACTGGACGGGCCAATACACAAAGCGAAAAAGTGTGTGTGTGTGTGTGTGTGTGTGTGTGTGTGTGTGTGTGTGTGTGTGTGTGTGTGTGTGTGTGTGTGTGCGAGGACAGGCTGGAAGGGCAAGCAAAGAGTTACATACGTCAGGAATTGAGACGAGATGAGGCCAGCAAGAGCAGGGATATGTGTGCTGAGCCACTCGAGAAGTTTGTCCGTAGTGGTGGACTGCACCGGGCTGTTCAACAGCGCTGACACGTCGAGTTTGGCGAAATCTAGCAAGACCGCGTGAACCGACACAGGGCAAAAACATTAGAATGCAGCCAACAAGAGAGAGTATGCCAAGTCGTCGCATTGGCCAGCCAGGCGCCAACGTGGGGCAAGTGGAAGTTGTGACTGGCAACATACCTGCCCATTTGAGTTCTAGATCACTGGCATCGGCCAAGTAACCCAGCTCGAGCAAGACCTCGACCACCCCGGGGTGGGTAATGCCTTGCTCCAGCTGAATAATCAGTAGAGCGTCAAGAACGGGTGTGAGGGCGACAGGTAGCACAGTGGCCTCATGTTCGCGCAGCGCTTGGAGTGCGGCGAGAAAGCACGGCTGAAAAGCTTCCAGAGAAGGTTTTGGAGAATTTTTGGTCAGTGTTGCCACCATGAGCTGGATTGCCGTCGTTAGCTCTTCTGGTTGCAAGCGAGGCAGCAAGGCCAGGGTCAGGGCCATGGCCGGTGCGACAGCAATGTACTGGCCGTTCACTGGAATCATGACACGTTCACGGTCGCTTGCCGCTTCAGTTGTGCCCTCGATCGCCAGCTGAATAAGGAGCTCAGCCGTGATGTGGCCTTCACTCAGAGCAACGGCACCGAGCTCCAGCACGGTATCCAAGATGGCAGGTTGCGGTTGTGCTTGCTGTGCGCAGAGCTGCAACAAAGTCAACCCATGTTGTAATCCACGGCGAGCTGCCTGACCAGCCAAGTCGGCCAGACCTGGGCGAGCGAGCAGCTTCACAACCAAGCCCACGTACAAAGAGATCAGGTGACGCCACATTTCCGCACGGGCATCATCTTCCGACTCGCCGTTGATGCCGTGTTGCCGAACTGCTTGCAATTCGCGGGTTAGATCCGTATCAACACGGCGCAGCAAGAGCGCTTGCTGTGAAGCCGACCCGTCAGCCCAACTCGGGTGGTACAGTAGAGCCTCAAGGGCAGCCACTCGTGCGGTGATGCTGTCTGTGGCGAGGGTGGCTTCCAAAAACACCACCGGGATGCGAAGCAGCTCGACAGCGGGTGTCAAGGGTGGCTTGGCAGATGGAAGAGCATGGGCACCGCGCGCTCGTATTTCAGCGGCGAGGACCGATGCCGTGAGCCGCGTGTGGGGCAGGGGTGTGGAAACCAGGTGCTGTAGACGATTGCCGGCCAAGACGCCGGTGGCAATATCCGTCACCGACCGAGCCAGGCTGACGGGATCACGGGCCTTGTTCCCGGCGAGTTGCCCCTTATCGTTGTTCTGCTGTTGATGGGCAACCACCAGCTCACGTGCTTGTGCAAATGCCTCAGTGCTGGTCTGGGCAGGCTCAATGGCTAGAGCCAAGAGGGCAGCCGCGGCCAAAAGGCGAGGAGCAGCGGGGATGCTATCACGCTTGGTCCACTCGGACAGGAGGCGCACTTCGACCCAGTGGTGTGGATTTGTGGACATGTGCAAAAGGACGTAGCAGACGTACAGAACGGCAGAGGCCTGGCGCCCATCTTTGGCATAGTGCTTGAACCAGTAATCCAGTTGATGTTGGGCTACGAGGCAAAGAGGCGATTGATCCGCGGGCCACGGCTGGCCACTCTCGTCGGCCAACTGGGACGCGCGGTCCAGCCATTTGAGACTTTGTTTGGCCGTTTGTAGATAGATGATGTCCAAGGTAGCAATGGCCACGGGGTCACTGGGAAGAGCATCAATCCAAAGGCCCGCCTCGAGCTCGTGCGCGGGTAGACAGCCATCCAAATGAAGCAGTTGCTCTACAAGCATGCGGCGTGCCAAGGTGCGCACATCTCGTGACTCGGTCCAGCTGTAAAGGGCCAACAAACAGCCAAAGCGGCTCAAAGTGTGCAATTGAGCCTCCTTCTGACCCGCACGCGGCGGGCCCACCACCAAGCGAGCGCTGGGCACCGTGGCAGACCATTGCACGTGACTGGCTTTGCGCAGAGTCTGCAGCAGTGCCATTTGGACTTGGTCCGGGGTTGTTCCCAATTGGTGCGGAGCGGGCATCCAGCGTCCCATATCGTAGGCCAGAGCCCAGACGGGAAAGATGGGTTGGTACAGTTGAAGGATCGCAAGGTAATTGCCCACAGCGGCGGGCCAAGCAGGCGTCAGCTTGGACAGGACGGCAATGGCTTTGAGTACGTCTTGGGGGTCAGGTAGGCGGCCACGCAGGGCCACGAGCAGGGCCGAACGGAGTCCCACCAGGCGAGAGCCCCCCGAGACTTCCAGTTGCAGAGTGACCATGGCGCGCCGGAGCACGGCGACCAGGCAACGGCCGGTGGCGTGCAAAATGAGAGGCGAGGAGGAGCTCAGGCATCGATGCAAGACGGACTGGCGCAGACATTCAGGCAAGATGGATTCAAGACGGTGCGACAAAGTGCCCACTGCGCCGAACCAGCTGGCACCAGGCAGCGGCAATTGAAGGGCTTCAGCAGCCAGCGTCATGGCAGCCAGCCAGCGGACTACCAGCTGAGGCTCGCATGACAGCGAGGGCTGAGCAAAATACAGGGGCAACAGCTCGGGGCAGTACTGCGAGTATCGGTTTACAATGAGGGGGAGGATGGGGCAGGTGAGTTGTTCCGTTTCTCAAAAGCCAGGGACAGGAATGCAGCTCTTGCTGCGCGCAACCACTTGTCGTACCTTGAGGATAGTCAAGGCCAGCTCATGTTTCAGTGAATCCTCAAGGGGAGAAGACAGAGAGCAAAGGAGCTTGAACAAAACGTGGTTTCCCACCTATCAGAGTCAGGACCAGGGGCACCAGGCGTGAGGTACCTTGGCCACGTGTGCGTGCGTGAAAGAGAAGCAGAGTTGCTGAGCACCTTGTCACGCTGCCAATCACGCTGCCAGACAAGATCATCGTTGCTACCCGCCGCAGGAGAAGGCTTGGTTTCCGCAAGCTCGGTCGGAGGGGCAGCGGCAGCAGTTGCGGAAGAGGTGAGCGCGTCATCAGTGTCAACGGCTCTCAAGTCGGACAGCTGGCCCGTGACGAAGTTCAGGCCGCAGCCCGGGTCACGGACAACGAGAAGAAGAAGTTCGTGTGCATGATGCCGCACGGTACGCTTGCTATTCGGGCGCCAGCGTTTGGGCAAGGGTGTGCCATCACTTGCCAAACTTCCCGATATGGGATTGGTGGCTTCATCTTTGATCTCATCTCCCTCCACAGTGTCCGCTTCAGCCTCCTCCCCTTCGGCGGTAGCCCCTGCTGCCTCAGGTTCAACGTAAGAGTACAGCGAGCCGATGCGTAGGAGTGCTGAGGGGTTGAGGAGATTGGTCTTGCTCTTGCGCGCAAGACCAGGGCGGCGTACTGCACGTGACAAGCTGTTCAGCAGATGGTGCAGGACAGCGGGACGATCACGCGCCAAGTCGGAAAAGCAGGGCGAGAGCAAGTTGCGGGCTGCAATGACTTGGCTCAAAATGTCATCATCGTCAACGCGGAGAAGGCTGGACACAAACATCACGTAAAGAGAGCGAACGTCCCATTTATCACGTTGCACGCGGTGGCGTGCCAGTGCATGGAGCGCCGAATTGCCAAGATCCAGCGCAACTACGACCTGGCGTGCTGCGCCCGGGGAGTGCTGGACCAAGGCTGTCAATAGGCGCAAAACAGCCTATGCAGACGGTGCGAGAGGTGCCTAGTGAGTCGCGCAAGTGCAGATCTTGGTGCAACCTGACGGGATGAGCCGGGCGGAACGGGGCGCATAATAGCATTGAAGCCAAGGGGAAGGGGGAAGGGGGAAGGGGGCAAGGGTGGCAAGGAGCGAGGGAGGCAAGTCCTTGGACCAGGGACCGAGGGTAGGAGCCCACCTTTTGCTGAGGGAACCGAGAGGACTGCAGGGCCAGCTGGACACCACGCCACTCATCTTGGCAAATGGCACGACACAGAGCCGAGCCAGCTTCACGAAGTTGAAGGTCAGTGCTGGTTTGGCGGACAGTCGCTGCCACGGCATGCTGCAATAGTTTGTTGAATTCAGAAATTGTTGAGCCGGCAAGAGCAGCCAGGAAGCCCGTGGCAAGGCACTGGACGAAGGTTCCCATCAATTACATACCATGACCACATGTATGTCTTTGTACTGAAAGCGGGTGCGCTGCTGCTCCCACACCTGCATCAACAGCTTGCCAGCTGAACGACACAACACGGCAGCAGAATGAAACACTGTGAGCATTGGTGACACACTGTGACAAGCGCGTGTCACAAGTCGAGCCGAAGCGTCAAACAGCGAGGTGGACCAACCTGGATCGACTTGCAGCAAAGCATGCGTGATGGGGGCCAGCTCTTGCTGAGACTCTGACTCGCGCACCAAGGCGTTATAGGTTTCCAGGCCCGGCGAGATGGCCGTTTGAGGATCAGCCAGCTGCTTGCGCAGCGTGGCCAGTTGTTCCTCCACCATGACGCTCCAAATGGGCGTTCGCTCCCCCACCTCCCGCCAGCTCCTTGCTACTCAAGAAGCTACAAGACAGACACACTTGGGCACGTTGGACGGAACCGTCTGACCGTCCCCAAATGAGAGAGAGAGAGAGCGAGAGAGCGAGAGAGAGAGAATGAATGTGTGAGAGAGAGAGAGCGAGAGAGAACCCGCGTGTGCGAGCAGAACACATACACACACACACACACACACACACACACACAACACCTCAATGTCAGACACAAATATGCGGTACTGTGACATTCATCACACTTTATACAATATAGCTATTGGGCCACAACCGGCGAAGCAAAAAAGATCTGACATTAGAAAAAGTGTCATATAATTCACACTTCCGTATCGAGCTGGCTGACAACCTCTGCTCTGTGTGTGTTTGTGTGTGTGTGTGCGTGTGTGTTGGCTCAGAGAGCTCGGCTCGGCTCGGCTCGGCTCGTGTGTGAGGAGGCATTGGGGTTTGATCGAGGGCGGGTGGGAAAGGCCAAGCGCGCATGAGTCTCTCTCTCTCTCTCTCTCTCTCTCTCTCTCTCTCTCTCTCTCTCTCTCTCTCTATGTGTGTGTGTGTGTGTGTGTACAAACGGATAATGGCTGGTTGTAGATGGCGCGTGAGCAATTTATGAGGTCCATCGAGATGGCTGCGCCCTTGCATCGTGTCATCTCCCGGTCCACCCTCTTGCAGGTAAATCCTGTCCTGGTTGAATTATATCGGAACATCGGCTCTCCTCCAACTGCAGCGGGACTTCACTCATTGGGTTGACTGCTTGACCCATCGGCCAGCGGAGTGCGGAACGCGATCCAGCGCTAGCCAACTTCCTCGGCTCCATCCAAGCATCAGCCTTGGGCAATACCACTGTCGAGGGCCAACATGAGGTTGTTATTGAGGTCAGCTGTTTGTGACGGCGCCCGCTGCGTGCACTGGCAGCGAAGCATTGCCCTGGTGGCGAGAGCCGACTCGCTGTAATATATTTCGCCGCGCCATTTGCAGGAGTTGATGGACTACCTTGCTTCAACCAGCTTGTACGCCACCGTCAAGAGCGGGGTCGATGAGATCCTCCAGCAGGCGCGTGGTCATTGAGGACAAGGAGAGGCTGTTTGAGAGCAATTCAGCTCAGCCCTGGCCTGTCCCCATCGCGCCAACTCACCTCACTGCTCACTGCTGTTTGGTGCCATAGTCTACACTACCCTTTAACCCATATGTGCAGCTCGTCCGCTTGGCACGCGGTGCAGCCGCACAGCAACATCTGAGCCGCTATGACCAAAACTTTGTGACACGCCTGAACCATGGGTGAGTCAGACGTTCTCTATGGGTACCTGGTTGCTGCACAGGCATGTGGCCCAGCGTCAAACGTTGTGGTTGCGTTAACAAACGGCCTTTGATGTGCTGCTCAACCCATGCCCTTGCCGGTTTGCATCGGGACGGGCGCTCAGCCTCACCCTTCAGGACGTCCCACGCACCCTGCCGCGAGGCCTGTTCATGCTACAAGGCGAAGAGCCCAACGAGGTCTTTTATGGCACCGAGGCAGCGCTTCAGCTCTTGGACATTCGCACCTACTACGCCCATCAGTTCGTACAAGGCCCATTTGGCTTCAATGGATCCTGTTTCTAACGCTAGCCAAAGCTGGCAGGGGGGTGAAAGTGCATTTCTCATGCATTTCTAATGCTCTTGCATGTCGACGTCACCTTGGTAGAGAGCTGGTGCAAATGGTCTGCAGTCGGTTTCATGGTAGGCCTGTCTGGTTTCTCGCGGCGAGGCGCACCCTGTCCAGCAGTCGGGTGTGCTTGTCATTCATAACTCTGCCGTTCCTCACCATGCACTCGGGTTGCTTACAGTGGCATCACGAAGCAAAGCACATGCGGTCGTTGTCCCCAGCTTACAGGTGGGCAATCGATCCATTTCGCACCTCGTTTGCACGGCCGTATGAGCTGATTCTTTCCTTGATGCTTCTAACTGCTCTGCCGACTGCTGGTGGCTGCGATCGTTCCAGCTGCCCAGCTTTGCTGGTCGTTTATTTAAGCAGGACAAGGAAGTTATCCAGCTCCGCATGGTCAGCATCACGCAACTGGGCCTAAGGGCCGCGCACGTCTCCTAGCCTAGCACAAGGTGGCGGCTCCTTCTCATTTGAACTTGTCGGGTGCATTGTAGGACTTGATTATCCGTAACGTGACAGTTGAGTCGGGCCTTCAGACCGCCTGTGACATCCTGCAGACCGTTTTCAGCCATGCCATGACCGGTACAGACAATTTGCACAGCCTGTTTAGCTGCTTGTATTAAAATCAAAACTGCCCACGCCTCAATGCTTGGTTTACAGTTAGTGCAGATGGGCAGGACCACTTCCTCATCTGGCGCGCCAGCATCAATGGAAACCTGGTTGGTTCACCGGCATGGTTGTGAAAGCCATGACCAAATGGGAAAAGGATCACCTCTCTTCTCATCTCAACCCCGTGACTATCGGCCCCAAAGTACGGCATGGACAAACTGCAACAGGACGCTCAGCTGGAATTTTTGGAGGGCCAGTTGCGACAAGGAAAACAGCTTAGCTCGCTGACGTTGTCAGCGTTTGCACTCGTTGGGGTCTGTCTTATTGTGCCTTCTGCGCCAGCATGCTTCGCTTTTACGCTGCCAAACCGTGATTTTGACCCCATGTCTGGCTTACTCACCAATTGCAGTCGCTGGACGAAGCCAGCCGGGCATGGGCACCTTTGGAAATCGTTGTCTACGTCCATCTTCTTGAGACCACCACCAGCAAAGGTACAAACTCAGCGTTGCAAAAGGCTGCGGCTAGGCATCAACTGCTACTCATTTTTTTTGAAACATGTGCAAACATTTTCTTTTCCCACGTTTAATGCATCGCTTTTGTGGCCCACGGTGCCACTGCGCAGTACCTTTGCTAGGTTACACGGAGCCCCCAGCCACGCCATTTGTCACTGGTGTCTTCCTGGATCGGGATGGCGTCCGCTCTCTCTCAAACCTCGTTTGGAACGAAGGTCTGGGCTCCTTGATTGCCCAACTAGTGATGGTACTGTTTTGACCCCAAAAGCCTGCAATAACCTTCTGCCTTGAATCTGCTGTTAGGCGAGGAGGTGTCAAGCCTCGTTCATGTGGTTGCGGAACATTATCGCTCCCAGAAGCGACCCCACTCCTTTCTTCTCGATCCCACACCCATCGTCTCTTCGGTAAGAAAAAGAATGCGGCGCAATTCTCAGATTGGGCCTTGCATGAAATCACAGTAATCAGGTCACTGAACGCACCCATTTTGCGATCCCACGACAGTTCTTGCTGGAGCAATATTTGGAACATCATGCAAGCCTCACCTCGGCCAGTGCCATAGCGCGTCGCCTCCTACCATCTGTGCGGCTGTGCTACAGGTTTGAGCTAACACATTGATTATAGCCGTGGCTGTCGAGGGTGCAAAACACCGACCGACCTTGACTAACATGAGCCTTGTTTCTGGTCCGAATGTGCGTGGTTGGCCAACCTCTTGTAGCCCAATGGCTTGGCTGATCGAGGGCCTGCGGCAAAGCTGCCGACTCCAGGCCGTCTTGCAGACTGTCGCGCGCTGTCCGCAGCTCAGCGATGTGACGCAACACCTTCTTGATGTGCTCATAAAAACTCTGCAAGCAACTGCGCAACTGGATGTACTACCCGGCGCCGCAGTATGTTGTTGCCCCCGATTCAAGCCTCATCACATGCAGATTGGCCTCACAATCTTGTTGTTCTCCAAAACTGCGCCGAGTTAGACGCTCAAAGCCAAGTACTCCGAGCTTATCCGTCGCTTTCAACGCCTCGCGCGCAGTCAAGGTCAAGCGCAACACCTCCTTTGGTTTGTAGACTGCGTCCAGGCAGATGGCGGAGAGGCCTGGTCATCCCTGCCTTGCATGCGAGTTTGTATCAAGGAATGCGCGTTGCTCAAATCACATGATTGGCCATCTTGGGGGAGGGGGGATAGCGCTTTGCAAGATTGTATTTCTGTGACCTGTGTTGAACTTGATCTGGCGTACGAGGCCACGCGACCACAGCTACCCAAGTTTTACAAGTGGTAGGCATCTTAATCCCTCCCGCTTTTCTATTACGAGAGTATGATCTGGCATTGACATGGGTTTCAAACAACATGGGATCCAGGCATGCTGCGCGCTTGGCGCAAGTTGCGCCCTTGCACGTCGCACCAGCAACACCATTGTCAAAGAAGCCGACACGTAAGCCTGCGTGCCTTGGCCATTCTTCCTGTCCAGGTCGTCTCACTTGTTGTGGCGTCTGACAGATCAAAAATCAAAACGAAATAAGGCAGCCCTTCCTGCCATGTTGGGTAGCAGCGTCAATGTCGACCAGATTCAACGCGGTCAGTTTGCGCGTCGAGTTCCTTGATCCACGGCCGTCCTCTGCCGCTCATGCTCTGGTTATGATGCACAATATTGCAACGATTGACTTCATGCCACAACGACCTCTTGTAGATGTTTGGCTGCACCAGCCCCACGCCTGGGGACTGTACGACCAGTTGGGCGTCAACGTGGCAGAAGCAGCCGATCGCATCCGCGCCGCGCCGTCAATTCGCCATGCAGCTGTGCGCATGCAATACCTTCATGACATCAAGCTGGATCGTACAATCCAAAATGCATTATCTGCGGCTCTCGGCCAAGTGCCCCTTCCAGAGCGACCCTTTGGCATCCTTGAGACGCATCTCACGGAAGGTTAGAGGGCTCTTCAAGCCGAGTGTTCCTCCTCAGGTGTCCAGTTGTTGCCCATGCCACGAATTGGGACCTCGTGTTGAGTGCATCTTCGGTGCCATGGGCACCGACATGAGTTTCCAGTCGAGATTTATGTTATATTATTCACGTTCGACTTGACTCCTTACAGCCATGTGGCATTGCCAGCACTGGATTGAGGCTGACGCGGCCATATGTCGGCGTTGCTGCGACCGCGAGTCGGTACCACAGCCAGCACTGGGCGCACAAGTACACCGTCATGCGGTTTATGATCTATACGGCTCACCAACTGCCCTTACCTTGATCGATGGTCCCACTTTGTTGACGGCTTTTGCCCGCTTTCGGCACGTGTCGTCTCTTTTCCCCATGCGTCTCTCCCGGCTCCGGCTGGAAATGCATTTCTATTTGCTGCGATCGATGCATGCTCGTTGCTTGCCTCATGATTTGTCTTGAAACTCATTGCAGAGGGTTGCGCACGCGTCTGGGCGGTGAAGCTGCAAATGGTGGCGAGCCTCAGTCTTGCTTGGGTATCACAGGTACGTGAGCAAGATTGCGTGGATAGTCATGGCGAGAACGCGTCATAGCTTGCACTCTGATAATGATCCTTTGGGATCGGCTCTCTGCGACATTTGATGCAGATGTGAGCATTTTGAGTGGCCGAGTGCTTGGTCGAACGGTGCGCTGGCACATGGTCGAGCAGTTTTGCCTTCTTGTGGCCGGTAGCCGCAGCGATGCCCTGGATCGCTTCTCTGTCATGCTGGCAACGCCCTTAATTGAGGCCACGGTGCGCTTCGCTTGCCCACCGGGTTGGTGAAGGTGCTACGAGTAGAAGGTGAAGCCGTCTGGCTGATTTGCACGTTAGCCTGACACGCACGCTTGCTCATTGCTGGGTGTCTGCAGCGACATCAACGCCACGGTCAGCTTTTGATCTTGAGCATTAATACGGCTCACGCCGTGTGGACACCGAGTGACATTGATGTCAACGTCGAGGACTTTACGGCTTCGCTCGCGCTGGCCATGCAAAATCGCATTGGAATCATTGTCAACTATCTCGTGTGCTGTGGTGATGTGCGTCGTCTGCCACGCTGATGGATCGCGCGAATGATGCCTGACATGGGCATCCAAGGCGCTTCGGCCTGAACGAGTTTCCTTGCTTCGACGCGAGAAGCCGGGCTATTCATTGCTCGACATCCGCTTACTGTTTCTTGTTGACCTGATTGCCCTGTGCCGTAGCATTACGAGGCTGTGAGCAAGACGATCCAGGTTTTCTTATTGAGTGGCGATGATCAAATTCTCCTTAGCCCGGCCGTTCGGGACTTAAGTACGCGAGTCAGATTTAATTCCCTCTCTCTCTCTCTCTCTCTTTTTTTTTTTTCCAATGCAGCGTGTCACGGGTGAAGGGGTGGATTGAGACTCACTGACCTTGGGTCTCCTTGGCCTGGTTTCCGCAGCCCTGGTGTCTCAAGTTACCGTGTATCCTTCGGGCAAAGAGGCATCCTTGGCAGCACGCTTGTGGCAAGCCGCTGCGGCCACTACCTGTACGTGAAGGGCTTTGCTCCAGCTTCTGGTCCATCCACCTGATCCATGCGTGTTCTAACTCGGATGTTTTGCGTGCTTGAAATTTTGATGTTCTGGGATGGCTGGGATGCTTCTTGTGCTTGTAGATGGAACGCATGTGACAGTGCAGGTGAGCTGAAGAGATGATTGAGGGTGCTCAGCTCTGTTCCTGGAGCCTGGCGGGTGCTGACTCACATTGAGGCTTCACGCTGGTTCATGACATCTTGATGCTGCCATGTTGACAGGCGTCTGGCGATCATCTTAAGCGCATGTATGCCGAGGCTTTGGTGTCTGCCCAGTACCAACGAGCCGTTCTGCTTGGGCTCTTGAAGTGAGAAGCGACCTTTCCACCTTTTCCATCCCTTATTCCCTCGCTAGCCCTTTGGCAGAGCTGGGGTGCACGGCGGTCACCTCGTGCTTTGGCTCATGTCTCATCACCCGACCTCGTAAATTGCCATGGGCGATCATGAATGCCGTTGTTGATAGTTTGAAGCAAGAGCAGGTACAAGACGAAGCACCGGCAGCGGGACTATATCGCTTCGCGGAGAGCGCGTGCTCGGCCTTGGTCGTGACTGAGGTGTGTTTGTCGTTCGTAAGCGCACTTTTAGAAGGAGGCTCGCGGGCAGGCTGTCTTCGAGGGTGCAGCTGTGGAAGTCCTGCTTTGTGCGCCCTGTCCTTCTTACTCAAGCGGGAATGGTGATGCTACATCAGGATTTGGTGAATTCTTTGAAGCAACTTGCCACCTTTTTGGTTGAGGTGGATGTTGAACCCGAGCCCAAATTTTGGCGTGCCATTCAACAACACGTGACTTTTACCGCACATTGCTTACAGCAAGTCTTGGGCGTCGGCGTGCTGGGGGCGGGTGGCATGGCGCGCACGCTTGTAGCAGACTGTCTGGTTGCCGTGTCTGCAGATGCGGGCTTGGCGCAACCGACCAGTGATTTGACTGCGGTGGTGCGCGAGCTGAGCCTACAAGAGCCTCCCGGAGCAAGCTCTGAGGTGCCCATGGTTGGTCCAGATCCGCGGCGTCAATTGGCAACGGAGGCGGGATTGAACGCCTTGCGTACTCTGTCCGGGTTTCTGGCAAGCCGCCGCAGCTTGCTCGGCGCAGAGCTTTGGCCACTCTTGGGCATCGACAACTATGTCACGCTTGGCGAGACGCGTCTCCAGGACGACCGTGCATCTTTATCATCCGCTCGCAACCGTGCCGTGACTGCGACGGCTGCCATGCCCAGAGACGCCGTGGCAGTAGAGAACTCAAGGGTGGCGCGACGCCACAAAACGGGTGCCGAGGACGGCGGACTCCAGCCAACGCCACCAGCCTCGCCAAGAACCGGGCATCGTCTGCGCCGTGGCCTCACCGGTGGACCTCGCCAGTCTTTGCATCTACGTCGAGCGGAGGCACCATCATGGTAGAGTTGGAGCATTTGTGGCGCGCAAGTTCAGCAGTCTTGGGCTGTATTGTCGCACGACGCACAGTGAAATTTACGGATTTGGTTTGGAAAATAGAGGGCTTAATAATAATTGATTGACACGTGAACAGTTGTTATGCACGCAGGCGTGCGTCTACGAGGGTTGTTTGATTGCAGAAGCGCGGCACTGGGTGGCAGGCCGAGCATCTCCTTCACCTCAAGAATCTGCTGTTGTGGCAAGGTAGTGGGAGACGGTCTCCGCGATATCCCAAAGAGCATTCGTTGTGCCTTTGCTCACGACGCTCTGGGGCAGCCAGCCGCCAATGTCGCTGTGAATAATGTACTCGAGATGTGTACTTTGACCATCGTCGCCTGGAAATGACCATTGTCACTGATGAGTGGAGAGTGGGACTTGTGGGCAGAGTTTGAGGGGATGCTTGTCTGGGTGTGGTACCTGGGGTGTAAATCATGCCACAGGGGAAATTGGTGCCGCGGACGGCAGATTTGGTGATGGGGAATTGGTCGACGGTCACGCTGGCAGCGAGGTGCTGAATCAGGCCACCGTCCAAGTGTCTGTGTTGTCATGAACATGTCAGAGGCCTGAGCCGGCTGTCGGGGTGAAGGATAGGCATGGTCAGCAACGTACTGCGTTTGGGCACAATCAATAAACTCGCGAGCCGTGATCAATCCCCCCATGACGGCGTTGGTCAGAGTTCGCAGCACTGAAGGGGGAGAGCCCAAAATATGGCAGCGAGGAAGCAATGAGAATCAGCATGCGGCGCAGATGGGGCGGTGGGAGGAAGAAAGCCTTCTTCACCTTGGCGCGATTTCTGGGGAGCCACTGTGTGTGTGAGAATGTTGCTATCCGAGTCGGGATGAACCGCTTTGTCCCACTGGAGGTGGGCGAAAGAACATTCCGATGAGGTTGCGTCATCAAATCCCAGAGGAATGGGGTTAGGGGAATGCCCTTGTTGATGGTGGACAAATCAGACCTGGGCGCGCACGGTATAGTCGTTGAGCAGCTGATGGACACGGGCGGGAGGGGCTTGAAATGTGCCTAATTGGGAAGAGGGCGACGTTCAAGAGAAACAGAGCAGCGTGTAACTGCTCTTGCCAAAAGAGGCCGCTGGGCGAGGTTCCCATACCAGAGAGGCGTAGACAATCGGCTTGGGCCTTGAGACCGAGCGCTTTGAGCGCTCCGCGATCAAGTCGCTGCAAGTGGAACTGCGGGCGCAGAGCAATGCTTAGCATGGGATGGGTGCGCGAGGAGACAAACAGGATTGTGATGTGCCGGGCTCAAACCTGATCATTCTGTTTGACCGTGGTGTAGGCCTCACTCTGCAGCTTGGTCATGAACTCGTGGTGCACCTGAGATCAGGTCAGGCGGCATAGGGGCGTGAGAAAAGCGCCATGGCATCTGGAGGTACAGGCTCACGGTCCTACTCAAGCCCAAACTCGAGGCGCCACCATCGGCCAAAGCCAAGCGCGTGCCGCGAACAGGCTTCACCTCTTTGAAGAAGGCATCGACTTCTGAGCTAGCGAGATCCGCAGCGGCAGTGATGTGCGTTGCTGGCGGCATGCTTGCGGGGGCAGTCCGTGATCTCAGGTTGGCAAACCCCGACGACAGCAGCAGGAGTATCCAGCAACAGGAGGGTCTGAGGGTCTGAGGGCGTGAGGGCGTGAGGGTGTTGCCGAGCTCGAAAGGAGAGATATCAGTAGTGCGTCACAACGTTCAAGGGGTCGCAATCAGGCAATTGCGTTTGTCTGACATCTGACATCTGACATCTGGAGCCCTTGCTCGACAGCTTTAGTAGGGAACGGTGTCTGTTTGGTCTCTCAAAGGGCAGCGCCTCGTGCTGCAGTTTGCTGGGTTCATCGGCGTCATGCAACGGCTCGCGAGGTCATCTCTTTGAGAAGGAGAGCGAGCTGCCGAAGCGCTTGAAGACGACAAAGGCGACCGCCAGGTATTATTCGTTCGCAATCGTTGGGGTGTGATGGTGTGGGATTTTTGACGCACACCATTCTCTTTCTTCAAGAGCAACACCCACAATTATCGGACAAACAATAGATCCGCTGGTCATGGGGTCAATCGTTCTGTGCCGTTTGCTTCTCCCGCCATGTTCACGCGGCAATTGGATTTGTTGTTCCCATGTGGTGCAGGGCGGTGGCAGCGCGGTTATCCGACCGACGACGGTTGCAGCAAAATGAGCGCAACGGGACTCTGCCCTTTCATAACCCATAACGCGCATGAAAAAACATGGACGGTGCTCACTCCTCTCTCCTTTTGACTGGATGCTCGAGAACTCAACGGCAGAATTACGCTTCAAAGGTAGAGAGAGCGTGGAAGGAAAACACAGTGCGTCAGAGACAGAGAGCAAACGGCGAGCAAAAAGACAGAAAACCCCACGTTCCCCAGAGGCAGAGCATGTGCCATGAAGAGCTGGAGTGCTTCATCCAATGTATGTCATTACTCCTGACAATATGTTGGTCACAAATAATTTCCGCGCAAGCACACCACACACACATGCACACACACGCATACAAGGACCCAATCCTTTTCTCTCATAGCAAAGTCCCAACTGCAGACGCAGACGTTGTTGCCTTCACTGCACACACCACAGACGCTTTACGACATGGTTTTTTTTTTTTTTTTTACATCAATGGTGCTTGCGCGCGCGCTGCTGAGGGGTTGGTTGCCTGTGGATGCATGAGAATCATCAGGTTTTCTTCAATCAGGGGCACTCCTAGTAACTTCTGGTTCTTGGCGGCTCGCTCCCACGATGACCGACTGACTGCATCTCAAGGTTACCGCTCCGCTCGGAGCGCTGCCGTTGACTCATCGGCTCCGACACACGGTGGTGGGCATTTTCTTTCCTGCTCGACCACCTGCGCCAAGCCAACCCAGCGCGACCCAAGCCCACCACTCTTGCCGGCTTCTTCACTATTTCGTCATCAATCACAAGCATCCACCGCCAAACCGCTTCGTGGCGTGGCCAGCTACCACCACCACAACAGGTAAGAAAACAACAAGCGTGTCGTGGTCGCTGCCACTTGACGCACTCTGTACTGCCATCAGCTTCTCCCGGCTTCCCTATGGTTGTTTGGGTCCATGTTGCGCGACTGCCGTTTTGTTAGTTTGTGTTTGAGGCACCCATACCCACTCCTTCCTTCTGGCTCTGTCGCAAGTATTGCGACATTCAATATCGTTCTCGCTATTTTCCACCCCTGTCGCTGTCTTGCTCTGGCTGCTTGAAATTGAGTGTGCTCTTTGCCGGCGCTGCCGTCGACCAGACCCGTCTACCGCGACCAAAGCCCCGCCTGACCTCCGGCTTGGCCGCTCTGTCTGCCCTTCTCCCCCTGTTTGCCTTTTCCAGAACCGTCACCATGCTGTTGAGTAGGTCTCTCCGCTCGACAGCCGCCGTTCGGCTGGCGACCCTGTCGTCTTCAGTGTCCAGCAGGCATTCCACGCGCCGCGCTGCCAGCACTACCTCCCTACAGGGTATTACTCAGCTGACGGAAGCCGATCGTCAGCCCTTTGTCGACGTCTTTGCACCATCGGCCAGCCACGGCACCCTGGCCAGCGTTGATTTGGCCCAGGGCTGGCGGGATCTTGCCCAACACCCGACGTTGGGATCCCTTGTGGAGCTGGCTGATGAAATGCCCTGGATCCGTGACAATGGGCAACCCGGCCTTCTCCAGCAGCATCGCTTTGCTGCCTCGGTCGTCGATCACTTACCCAACCACACCCAGACCATCTTAGATATGTGTCTCGAAGTCTTGCGGACTGAGGCCGGCCCCGACCGTGACCGCCTTCTGGCGCAGCTCGCCAACCTCAAGACCATGTTTGCTTACTTTATCAACAACTTTTGTTACGAGCCCTGCCGTCACCGCTTTGCGGTAACTCAAGACCCCAATGACGTGGGCTCGGCTCACTTTTTCGTTCCCGCCAACCTGGCTCAGCCTCGTTCCCTGCTCAGTCTCGCCTTTGCTGACCACCGGCCCGAGTACCGCTGGCAAAACTACAACGAATACTCTCCCGCCAACTGCATTGTGCGCGACCCCAGCCAACCGTTGTCCCGCGAAAACGTAACCACCGTTATCCGCTCCGAAGGTAGCCCGGACGAGATTGGGTTCATCACCAACCACTACGTGCAGGAGTCCTTGACTGCCCCTTTGATCGAGTCAGCTTTGACCATTGCCCACTTGCCGGAAGAGCTGGGTCAGGCTCGCACCCTAGACACGGCCACCCGCCAGCGCTTTAGCGAAACCCTGGCCGGATCGTATCACCGGGCCACGGAAGCCATGCAGCGCATCAACGCCGTCAACCGCGAGATGCCCAAGTGGTGTACGCCAGCCGGCTATGGCGAGCTGCGTGTCTGGATCCCGGGTCCCAAGGGTCATAATGGTCCCTCCAAGCTCTTCCCGCAACAGGGTGTCATGATGGAGGGCTCTGCAGCCCTGGGGTTTGCCGATTACGACTTGTCTCGTGGAGAAACGGGTGCCATGACCACTATCCTTGCCACAGCACGGCGCATGTCCCTCTTCATGTATGATGCGGCCCGCTACGGTGAAAACGAGCTGACCTCGGCCCAGGCCGATTTTGACCGCCGACGCGAGCCAGGCCAACAACGTCTGCTCTTTGATCTCGGTACTCAGGAAACCCAGCAGCGTGCCCGGGCCGCTGTGGACGGCCTGGACGCCCCCGTCTTGTACCACCTGATCCATCTGCGCAACGAAATCGTGACCCACAACTTGACACACTACGGCTATAGCGTCAACTACATCTTTGACAACCGCTCCACGGGCAAGCAGTCGCTCTTTGAGGCCACCGGCGGCACCACGCACAGCTTCCTGCCCACCAGCGCCCTTGCTAACATTGATGATACTCTGCACGAGATTGATGTTCTTCGTGCCCGTCGCTCTGAGCTCGAGTCAGCCCAATGGGAGGACATTGCAGCCATTGAGGAACGCATGCTTCGTTGCAAGCGCCAGGCCGAGAAGAGTCGCACCTATTTTGCAGACATTGCTGAGCATCGTAGCAGCACTGAAGGCGAACGCTGGTCGGCTACGGCTTAGTTCTCTTGTCATAACGCATGCACGACTGGCAACCAAACGTTTTTTTGGGTCTATACTTTTCGCCAATAGCCCCCAATCACCAGCGCGCAAAGAGTTTGCCCAGTCTCCCCGTTCGTCTTGCGCTTCGTTTTTCTGCTTACTCTTTGACTTGAGGGTAGCATTTCTATTTGTCTCTGCCGTCCCATCTGTGTCGAGTGGTCGAGTAGCCGCGGCTGCCTGCAGCTAACGTTTTTCAAAGTGAATTGATTTCTTTTTCTCGTTTTAAAACCCTTCTCTGAACGCCTTCCTCATGCATGCAAAGGCCGGATCCGCAAGATTGATCAAGTTTGAAGTTAATTGCGCTTGAACACAAGAGCTGCTCAGGCGGAGCTCCAGAATGAACCACCAACTGACAGGTGGGCGAGGAAAAGGCTCCTTTTACCAGATGAGATGGCGCTTACAGGTTGCAGGCGTCGCCGGAAATGATGGCATACTGGCCAGTGCTGGCCGAGAACACGGTGGTGCTCTGGATCATGGTGGGAATTGGTGTTGCCACCTGTCAAGTCGTGTGTACAAACACGTACATCGGGTGAGATGGAAACATACATCAACAAACCAAAACCCAACAAACCACCAAGACAATAGGCAACCAAGTTTGCTCACCTGGCAGATGTATTGGGCCGAGTTTGGCTCGTAGTTGAGACCACCGGGGATGGCCTGGCCCGAAAAGCCTGACACAAGGGGGTTGCAAGGAAAACGTAAAAAAAAAAAAATGAGAGGTCAGACATCTGGGCATTGAAGATTTAGCCATTCATCATCCTAATGCCATCGTGCATTTCGAAGGTTGTTTGGGCGGGGGGAAATCGGCGAGGATGCGCTCACCAAAGGTAGGGTTGTTGATGGACATGACGCAGGAGTAGCCTGGATAGGCGGTGGCGGTCGGGGCTGGGAGGGCAGTTGAGCCGACGGGCATGGTGGCCGAGCTGTTCTTGGGCTTGATGTCAGAGCTGTAGTAAGGGAAATCCGTGGTCAAGACCTTGTAGGTACCCGTGGCGCACCAATCGGCCTGTCCGGTCGAGTTGTTGGGGAACCAGCACTTGTATCTAAGCGCGCCCACGAGTGCCAGACACAAACGCCAGCAGCAAACCGTGAGGCACGGTGTCGCTGAATCTCAAACACGGGCTGGATCTCAAACGCGGGCTTGGAGGAGGGAGAGCCGATTGCTTACCCAGGGCCTTCGCCGTTGTCAATGTTGTTGAGAGTACCAGCGCCACCGGGGCAAGAGCAGTAAAACATGGGCGAGCTGTAGTTTTGGTAGTTGGCCCAGTGCACGGCGTATGCCTTCGAGGGCACGGGTTGAGCGGGCGTGCTGGCCACCCACTTGCCGCAACCCAGCACCCCCGAACCCGCCAGGAGCATCAAGGCCACAGTGGCCATCAAAGTCATGCGCACCATCATCTTGTCAACTCACTGCGGAAGAGTCCCCAGAGATTGGCCGCACACACACACACACACACACACACACACACACACACACACACACACACACACACACACACACACACACACACACACACACAGAGACGTCACACACAACACACACACACACAC